AGCAACTGCCATGTGATTGGTTGATTAGATAATTGCATTAATGAGAAATTGAACAGGTGTTCCTAATAATCCTTTAGGTGAGTGTATATATATTTTATATTCCCCACACATCTGGGAGGGCGGCGCCTGAGCGCCCCCTATGGGCCAGCCACCACTGGTGAGCAGCTGTATGAGGAGGGTCAGAGGTAACCGCATATCTAATTGTTCATACTGTCCAGACATTACACCAAGGCATATGGTATTTTAAAAAGCAACACTATTCCAGCATTTTGAAATACTGGTGATAAAATTTGCATGGGGGGGGGGGGTCCCGGCTAATTTTGTTGTAAGGAATTCAAAATACTGTGATCGACCGCAACCATCTGCATCCGCAGCCAAGTGTAGCATGAACACAAGCTACCCCTGCCTCCGGTCCTCCCAACTTCACGGGGCCCCCTGCCTCCGGTCCTCCCAACTTCACGGGGCCCCCGGCCTCCGGTCCTCCCTACTTCACGGGGCCCCCGGCCTCCGGTCCTCCCTACTTCACGGGGCCCCATGCCTCCGGTCCTCCCTACTTCACGGGGCCCCATGCCTCCGGTCCTCCCTACTTCACGGGGCCTCCGGCCTCCGGTCCTCCCAACTTCACGGGGCCCCCGGCCTCCGGTCCTCCCAACTTCACGGGGCCCCCGGCCTCCGGTCCTCCCAACTTCACGGGGCCCCCGGCCTCCGGTCCTCCCTACTCCATGGGGCCCCCGGCCTCCAGTCCTCCCTACTCCGTACTTCTACCATTACACTCGTTCCTATCTGGTGTCAGTCTATTTTTCTATCCGTCCCGCTCGAATATCCTTCTGGCTAATTAATCCCGAAAATGGGCTGCCCCTACTCAACTTGCAGTAGAACCTCCCCCCAGTACTTGATCTGGCATACCTCATGGCAGAGCACCCAGTCTAGCCCTGCATACAATTACCATTTCCTCTGCAATAATTGTACATCATAATTTAAAAGGTGAAGGATGTTCCCCAGCACTGGGCTACTCTGACAGTTCTCATTTGTAAGCCTGTTTCCATCAACAAAAGGTACAATCCATCACCAGCTCCAATGGCTTGGACGTGGTTACCCCTGCTCCTTCAGAACAAAAGGCCAACTCATTACACCCTTAAGCCATTTACCATCTGCATCATAAGACAGAGTACACCATTAAAATTACTGATCTTGATCTTGATCTTACATATGAGTAAGAGGTAAACTGAAGCAGACCAGAACGATGCCACAATGTAATTAAAGCGGGCATCTGTCCTGTCATATGAAAGAGTGGCCATTAGCCTATATACCTGCCTCATCAGTGAGGCAGTCTGCAGACAGATTTAAGTAAACGCATGCGCAAAGCTCAATTTAACGTCTGCCGCATAAAAAATTTGTAGATGCTTGACTTTGGCCTCTTTCGAGACTTTAGTAATTTGCTCATTTGAAATGACTTTTTCAATTGCAGTGGGCTGCATTTCCTGAGATGGCAACTCTTGATTGAATGTCTTCTGAGAGCGGATCTGAAAACAGAGGAAGAGTTACACGAAATAAAAGGCAACAGTCGAGAAAGATCAATATCCTCAAGAATGAAATCAGACGAAAATGTTCTATCCATCCATCCCCTAACAGCTTATGTTGATCAGGGTCAAGTGAGGGCCCATAATTCATACAGAGGGGCCAACCTTACTATTAGCCATGATATGTTTTGAATCTGTGAATGACAAGAGAGGGCACAGTCTGGGGGCCAATCATCTTTCATCTAGGGCCACTGGCCCTGTCTCTGTATACACCCCTGGGTCAAAGTTCTGTCACAGGCAACACAAAGCACAGGGCAGGGAACACCTTGGACAGGATGCCAATCCATCACAAGGGCATTTTCTCGTACTATGGACAACTGTGGCACAACGGTTCACCTAAACAAGGGGAGAATAGACAGAGCTCAGGGTGAACCTCCAATCCCTGAGTCTGGAGGCTGGACTGCTAATCACTGATCCCCTTTAGCACCCCCTTAAGTATCACCGATCAAGCATGAACACAAGCAAAGCTGCAGGAACTTTCTACAAATATTTGTCAATGATGAAAAAACGTGGAGCATATATTTCAATGAATCGAAGCGTTGCCTCATTTTTGACATTGAAGTACAGTACACAGTACCTGCTCTTTCGGTTTCCTTTTTGGTTGTAACTGCGCAACCATTGAATTCTGATTCCCTGTGAGATGGTTTTAAAAAGGCTTCAGTCATCTCACAAGGCATCCATTCACCACAGCACTTCATGGCAAAGTGTCAGACATATTGATACCAATTTAAAGCCTGATTTAGTGTTTTTTCAAAGAACCCACATCCTGAAGTCCTGAAGCTTAAACTGTAACATGCCTTGACACATGCGCCTTCCATTCGGAGGAAAACAGCTCTGTTTCTGAAACCAGTGTGGTGTTTACTTTTCTCAAGTAACATTTTGTGAATCATAATGTACTGCAGCCACTCGAAAGTGCACTTGAAACCATTTCTTTTATTCTATTTTTTTTCTCCCCCAGGAAGCGAAAACTTAATTAGGCAGCTTTGTCCCAGCATTCAGGCAGATTTAATAATTTTCCGGGTTTTTAAAACCGAACAATGAAAGTGGTCTATACACACCTTACGTGTGACTCAGTGTTTCCCATCAGCCCCTGCCGGCTTTAATAGCCAGAGCTAAAGGCAGGAGTTGAAGTCAATCGTTTCACAGATGATGGGCAACCATTGATCATTCCAACATGCATTTTCAACAGTGCAGCTCCCCTGCAGCATAGAATCAATGCTAAGTTTGTATAGGTGGAAAAAAAAGATTTTCCGGGTCAAAATATATGTAATATTCACAGCATGCATTTTAGACTCCAAGACTACAATGGTAACTGCTAGTGGACTGAAAAGGACACCTGTGTTGCCCCCGAAATGGGTAGAAAAAAATTAAAATCATATTTTTAGTGTCTCCCTGTCACACCCTCCTCCGTCGTCAATGGCTTGGTTTCCCCAAGGACAAGATTCATATATCATAGCAGGGGACTGTCAGGAATGTGTTTAAAATGGCATTTAGAACTGTAACGGGAGCAGCAACATTCCTGATGGGGGTGGAAGGAGGGAGGAGGGGGGATGAATAAATCTCAAGGTTTGCTTGCCCGAGTAACATCGTTCTTGTAATGTCGCATCTGACAACTCGCTTGCTCACCGCCTCACCTGAGTCACAAACACAGAAGGCTGCAACCTCACGGCTCTGTGATCGTGATGCACGCAAATACAGTCTGATTTCTGGCTTCTTTTCAGTAATTCATCCCTAAAGTCATTAGGGGGGCCCTGAAAACTGCAGACGTTTCCTTTTATTCTTAAACAATCTTTGGAATTTACCTAAAAGTTTCATAATATGGGTAAATGTATTGCTTCAGATGTTAATGAGAGTACTTCTGTTGTGAAAAATCACCTCCCGCAAATTTACACACCAGAGGATAAAATCATGAATGAAATCTGTGGTAGGTAGATTATGGAACGTGCATGGACTGTCTCACCAATGAAAACATTGTCTGTCTCATTTGTTCGTAAATTATTATTTTTTTGGATCCCAGCGGAGCGTGTGAAGGCAAGGCTGACCTTTCTTTCTTGTTGTTGTCATCACTCGGAGCGGTTTCTGTCCACCCTCAGGTTGTCGCCCATAAAACCATAAAATATTTATGCAACATTATGTTCCAGGCTGGCGTGTACCTTAGCTGGGCCCTAGAATGAAATTTAAGAAAAAAACTCTACATTACGTAAGAGATTCGGCATTTTGGCAGTCCTCGTTTTTTTATCGCCAAATCTCAGAGGAGAGTTTCCCCCCTATTCTAATTCAGGCAAATTTGGTGACTGCCTGAACTGGGGGTGGCATGAAATGAACTGCGAAGACTGCCAAATTAGTACCGAACCCAACCGCTGAAGCCCTCCCATCAAATTAATAAAATGCTCACTCAACCTTAACTGTGTTTCCTTGACAGTGATGTGTTCTAACTGTCAGCACCGAGCGTTCAGTGAGGACCAGAGATAAGCAAAAAACAAGGGGCAGAGCTCAGACCTGTGTCAGAGGGAAGAATGTCTGCTTCAGACAGCTCTGAAGAAATGAAAAGAAGCCCTTCTGGTAATACTTAATTTCTATGCCTTCTAGAAGGTACTATAAATATAGTCATAAAACTCCATAATACCAAATCATTTATATGTAATGCATTATATCACATGGAATCATCACTCATTCATCCATCAACATCTACCAGCAATATCCATAAAAATCATAATTACAATGCAAGGGCTCTTTGTAGGCTTTGAGTGTTACCTTATATTCCTTTAAATGATTTATGATGTTTAAATCGTAAATTTGGTTAGGAGATACCTACCAAGAGATGAACAACAATCCCTCACCATTTCCAAAACTGCAAAGACGTCTTTATCAGCCTGAGGAACTTACCCCTGAGTTTCTCCAGTTCTGCTCGACCCATTAAACAGCAATGATGATTAAAATCACAATTTAGAAGGGACAATCAACACACAGTCGAGTCGACTGTCGAAAGAATTAGTGCAGCTGTTAGCAGACGGTCTTATACTGTTTTTTTTAACCATAAATGAATCAATTGACATGAATGCAAATTACTTTTTTATAGATGAATGGACGCAACAAATTCAGAAGTTTGTTGGACCTACCCATCTGTATGCTAGCCTCTGTCCGAGTAACTTATGTTTGTTGATAATGATTTATTTATATATTAATTTTAAAAGTGCACGAAGTATATAATCGCAGTTACCCAGGTAGCCTAAAGATTCATACTTCTCACACTATTTCTGTATTTTTATGGCCCTGGAAGAAGAGAGCATGTTTTATAAGTCAGAGCAGTGACTCACCTTTTTTGGGGTGAAAATGACAGTAAAAAATGGCAGTGTTCCTCCCCACGCCGAAGTGCAGCCAATGAATTATTTGCCCTCTGCGAGTGTCACAGGGCAGGATGCAGTATAACCTTTATGAAATGCCAAGGGTCAGGCTTAATGATGCCATCATATATAATAAATATGGTTCACTCATCAGTCTTGTTTGTTTATTTACTTCCTTTTATGGCTGGATTATTACACTGGACATATCATTATATTCACAGCAAGCAGTGAACTAGAAACTGCGATAACATTCTCTAATTTGTACGAAGGATTCAGGCAGATTCATGATATGAATACCGGCATAATGGATTTCAGAGCAGTATGATGAAGTTGTCCAGGAAAGGTCTTTGTCCAGGCACTTAACCTACTTAACCTCATTTTTCTTTGCAGATAGCAAACTCACTGAAGGCAGGCCATGGCAATTTGCTACCACATCACTTTTCCATAAGGCGATACTATTTAAAAATTACAAGAACTATTCCTGCGGTGACCCAGGGGTAACACAGCTCTAAGGCTGTAGGTTTGATTACTCTCCACGTATGCATGGGTTTTGAGGCCAGACAGACTGACTGACTGACTGATGGCTCAGTTTGACCACATACTGAATAAGCTGGTGAATGACACATACAGCATCTGCAAATTGCCACCAAAGTGAAAAAATGCTACCTGTGAATAAGGCCTAAAGGCAGATATGTGTCTCCTTTCATCAACAACTATTCATTCTAAAGCAGTGTTTCTTGACCTGGTTGTTGACCCCCCCCCCCAGACAGTCCACGTTCTTGCTCCCTCCGAAATCCCAGCCAACCATGAACACAGAGTACTTCATGCAGGTGTGTTGAAAGCTGGGAGGGAGCGAAAATGTGGATTTTCTGGGGGTTGAGAAACACTCATCTAAAGTGTCCATAGTATGGAATTGTGACTATGTACCCTGCAATTTACTGACCTCCCATCCATTTTGTGGTCTGTGCTTCCTGGGATAAAGGTTTTGTAGGCCAGGGGTGGGGAACCTGTTCAATGGAGGGCCGGTGTGAGTGCGGGTTTTTGGGATGGCCTCTCAATCAGCCAATAACAGTTGGTCCCCAGGACTGCAGGTGAGAACCACTGATTTATTATTGGCTGATTGAGAGATCATCCCAAAAACCCGCACCCACACACGCCCTCCATGGAACAGGTTCCCCACTCCTGTTACAACCCGTTACAGCCTCTGCCAAACCA